AAAGGCAATTAAGAACAGCCGTTTTCCAACTTTAATACATACACATCTGGATCACTTGCACAATTGTTAACATACAAGCTGCTGGGCCTCTGATTTAGTAGGTTGGGATAAGTTCTGAAATCTTGCATTTTTAACAGGTTTCCTGGAGTTTCTGATACAGCCAGCCAAGGGACCACCCTTTGAGTTCTAGGCTGATTAAGAAGATTTTATGATAGAGCAATGTCTACATAGTTGCTGATGGCTCTCATTCCATCAGTCCCTTAGTCTGATAAACTTGGGAGCCTACTATGTGTCAGGCACTGGATCTTGCTTACATGACATTATGAAGAAAGTTGATGCCCTTACCCTCCTGTCCACTTTATAGGGTGGGGTATACCAGACCATAAATAGTTAATATGCTGAAAGTATTGCTGAGTATGGTAATCTAAGGGGTTACCACCTGGACCTCATTCCAAGAAAACCATCTGAGTAATCAGAGCATCCTTTTATTTGGATGTACAATACCAATCTCAGAGGATTTCTTTGTGCAGACCTCTCTCTCTGAGGCTCATAATAAAGCTGCTTTCTACAGTTCTCAAAACTTAACTGTTAAAGCTGCTTCTGTTGAAGGGGAACTTTCTCCTGACAACCAGCACCTTGGTCCCTTGTTAATAGTTCATCTTAAGGAAGATAACCTTTCAGAATGGGGGAGGTAAGTTTTTTAAGATTTATTAGGTATATGAGAACTGGGTTAGACTAGAGGTGGGGTGAGAGGATTCACTGGAGACAGTGGGGAGCAGAACAGGCAGATTGAAACACTGCTGAGGGGAGCAGTGGATGGAACAGAAGAGTCTACCACACAGTGTACCTCAGTTCCCTGTTGTGGCTGCAGAAAGCTTCGTAATGTTCTACTTCAACTCCTAGTGCCACTAGTGAAGCCTCAGGAGAGAGATGTTCTTAAAGGAAGTACTAGGCTTCCTTCAAGCCTAGGACTCAATTTCGGATCTCCCTGGGAACTGCTCCCCTGAACTTCATTTTCCCTATGATTTGTTTTTAGCCCTGCAACCATGTTTGTCCTTAAATACCTTTGATCCTGAACAGCACTTGAAACAGCCGTATCCAAAGGAAGAGTTACATGAATCAACCGAAACAGGGTTCAGAACCAGTTTCGACTATCTCAAGGAGTAAATTGACCTTGTTCCATTTCTCATGGGACTTCAATGGGAGAGAACCTTCTCTTCCTGCTCCTACCATGCCTTGCATAAGGGACACCAATTTTTTTTCCCCTGCTGCCCCCTCAGATCCTTCCAAACCTTTGGAGGAGAACTAGGTGACTGGTAACTGCAGCAACCTTACCACCATCTACCTTAGGGTGTAATCTGCATGCCTTCATACAGGACAGTGACTACCACATGTAGAAAAGAAAATCCTAACACTGGTTCTCCAGTAACCTAAAGAATCCTCACTACCAGATGGTCAAGGAGATTAGGAAGCAGCAGAGCTCCTAGGTTCCTTTGCAAAGGTTAGTTTCTGGGGCTGGCTTGACTGTCATTGGTGGGTTCTTCATAAACACCCAAATAGACTGGGCATTCCTTAGCCCTGTCTCTTATTCTACAATAGCTACAGGGCTCCCAAGAAGCACTTGAAAAGTCGGATACTGAGGTAGCAAGACCACATCTGAGGCCGAACGTGTTAACTTGTGCTGTGTGGCTTTCTCCCAACTGACTTGGCTTTGGTGTCCTTTCTAATTTTGTGGCAGACTAACTTCCCAGACAAGATAATCATCTCTAAGTTGTGATGGTATTTTCTGCGGTGAGTACTTAACAAGTTGAGAAAGCAGTGTTGCCAGCAGTAGGGTGGTTGTCAGCACAAAAGAACTCAGGCCCCAGACATTGGCTCTTCCCCACCTGGTAATGGTACAGAAAACCAGTTTCCAGCAACCCATGACCAAAAAACAATCACAGCTGATACTGCAGTCCAAATGGGGAATCTATCCATAACACTGCCAGGAGAGAGGCCAAGTTAGATGACACTTTCTGATTGATCTGAGATATGAGTCTGGGCTTAATAAGCGCTATTCCCTGTTAAGAGAACATAGCATTAACTCCAATACCAAGGTGGAAGTGGTAGTAGAAGTAGAGCTTACCTTATACCAAGTGAGGCCCTGCCTCTGCATCCTGATTCCTCTTCCAAAAGTAAGCAAGACTGAAGGGTCTGTGAAGGAAGGGGGAGGGAAATGGACCATACTAAAATGATCAAGTGCTGGCCTTGCCAATCATGAGTTGCTAATTCTCAGTGTCACTTTGAGTAAAGTGATATTTGTAAGGTGGCTGTGAGGATTAAGACAAGCACTATGAAAACTAACTCATTAAAATGCTGAGTTACTACTGAGGACTTAAAACCAGGATCTGCACTGCTTCTTGTCGAGACAAGTATATCTCCAACCACAGCAACTGAAGCAGCTCCTGCCCTGGACAGCAGCCCTTGGTGAAGCCAGGGTCTATGCACTGGAAGGTTGGCTGTAGCCATGGTAATGACCTTGTGCCTGCCTTGGTACTGGAGACAGGTTGCCAGCCCCAATGGGAATCTCAGAGGCATGCAGAAACCATTGCTCACAAAGCATGCCTGATCCCTAAATACATGAGACTTGAATGTGAGCCATGGATATAAGCTGCATATAGGGGTCAATTTCCCTTTCTTCCACTGGTTACCGTGACTAGCCTCCCCAGCCCATGTGCCCAGAACATTTATTTGACAGTCCATTACATTTATTTGACAACCTGTTTCCTACATTCATGAGACTCCAAGGTTGGAAAGAACTGACTGAATCCTGCTCTTTCATCACATTCCACTGCTTGGATAAGTGGCTTCCATACATTCTGTGAGCTGCCACCCAAGCATGTGCGCCATGATCAGTTCTGAAACTGCTCTTGACATCTATTAAGGACAAAAATGAAGCTGAATAGCAACAGTTGAGTTACAATCCCAAAATGAAGAAAGTGTTAATAAAATATGTCTCCAGGGCAGGGAAGAAGGTGATTGAGGAATAGACATTGAGGAAGGAGATATTTAATCTTTAATTTTGCACCATATGCTTGTTTTACTTCAAAAATTGAATTTAGAAGAGTATGTTAAAAGAAGCAAACTGAAGTAGGTAGAGTTTTAACAAAAGGGTGGGAGAAGAGTTCCCCTTCATATCTTTTTTGTGAAAAACAGGGCAGCCGACAACAGGATCTCAGTGACCCACCTAGGAGGCCTCCTTCCCACACAGACCAACCTCAGGAAAGAGGAGGCAGAAATGTTCAGCGAGATCCTGTCAGCGAGATCACACTGCAGCCACCACCCAAGAGTCAGATACAGAGCAAAGGAGCTGCAGACAAGAAAAGCAGAGATGAGATCTGAGAGTGTGTTAGTACCGCTGGCCAACAGGCAAGTGCAAAGCCTTACCCTGCCCTCTGCTCACAGGTTTGTATTTCATGGTATTTATCTCCACAGAAGCAGCATGAAGCCAGGGAAAGAACCTCAGGGGCAGGGAAAGATAATTTCTTCCTGTCTTCCTGTGCCTCCTACCGTGCCTGGCATTGTGCAGTCAGGTGCATTGCAGCCCAACTGGGAATCACTGCTATAAACAATGAGATCAGGGCATAAGTGTCTGACTGTCTGGAACAAGCTACCCAGAGTGGGAAATAAGCAAGGGAGCTTTTCTGAGTTAAGGCATTTGCTAGGTGGGCCTGGAGGGGAGGGAACACCAGGGCTGAGCAACGACTGCAGTAATAGTTCAGTGAGAGAGAGTAAGATTTTGAACCAAGGCAACTCCATTCAGAGATAATACTAGAGACTAGCAAAGAAAACCTCCATCTTGTAGTTGTCTCAGATACAAAAGTTGCCCCATCTCCTGGAAGAATTCGGGTCAATAGTAGATTGGTATAAACTGGTGAATAGGGCTAGCGCCGCACTGTGACCCGTGGACAGGTCCAGAAGACTACATCTAACACCTGGGCTGACATCCGCGTGGCCCGACTGAACACAAGGTGGGCAAGGTGTCAGGAGGGAGTAAGGGACCGCGACTAAAGGTCACTGTTCCGGAAAGATAAAAAAGACGAGGGGTAGGTAGCGCAGTCCCAGGAAAGGCTTTACCCCTTCCCCACCATCCTCCCCCCCCCCCCTCCCATGCGTTCTGGTGGCCCTGGCTGCGCGAGGTCTGGCTTTGGCTGTTGATGGATTAGGTCCGATCCGATTAGAGCTTGGGTTGTCAGCTTTGGCTTCTTTGGAGGGCCCGCGCCTGCCCCGCCCTCGTGGAGACCCAGGGAGATCCCGGAGACCTTCCCAGCCCGCTGCACCAGGTTGGTGCTGAAATCCGGGAGGCTCCGTGCGTCCCGGGCTCGGCTCAACGCCACAGCACAGACTCGGGCTTCCGCCCCCTGCGGCCCTCGCGAGCCCCGCCCCGAGCCTGCGGGTGTCTGGGCCCCCGCCTCCGTGCTCACAGCGTGGCGGGTGGGTTCTCGCGGGTGGGGGTGCCTCGCGCCAGCGCTTCAAGGAGAAGGCGGGACCACGGCCCCGCCCCGCAGTTCTCCCGCGCGTGCACCTGTCGGCGAACGCCACGCCCGGCGCTGTGCGCCAGCCCCCGCGCCTCTCTGCGTCCGTTTGTCTCCGGGCCACGAGCCGGGGGTCTGTCTGTCCCTCGGGCAGGCGGTCTGAGCCGGCGTCAGAGCTACGTGCGGCAGGGCGGC